TTTCTTCTTCAGTTGGTAGTAGAGCTGTTTAATTTGAAGCTTGGTTGTACTGTTAACCATAGTTTCTAATTTTCTGTCATTTTTCACTTGCCCATTTATGTGTATTCGGGTGACATTGAGCTACGTTAATTTGTAAAAGTTACGAATGAAATGTCATTAGTTGTATTTATGTAGTGTCGCTGTAAATATTAATTTTTTTTAATTATGGTACGGAACCGAATCGAATGGAACCGAACCCGAACGGTTCCATAATTATATTTGGACCCGACGGTTACATTTATTAAATACCCGAAAGTTTTGGGTTGGGTCGGTTCTCTTTAGAACCGAACCGAATCGACCAACGGACATCCCTAATTTTAATCAACTTTTCAATTGAACCAAACACGAACTATCAAACCCTAACTGAATATTCAAATTTTAGTCCATAATTGCTTGTCCTCGTGTTTATAAGCCCTCGTTTGACCTCATTATCTAAAAGTTCATTTTTTTTCTCAAATTAATTTTAAATTATACATTCATCCAATATTATTTACATGTAAATTCATTTTTTTTTTTATCTTTTTTAACTACACAATCTCTACAAAATTACTATTACAAAGCACATTTTTTGTTATAAATGGGACTCAAACATGAGTTAAGTAAATGTGGAAATTACACCCAATCAAATTTTTTAAGTTTCAATTTCAAAACTCAGATTTAAAATTGTTTTTATACAAAGATCAGATGATAACATTATTTTTAATATAATGATATTTTAAGATTAAATAATCTACAAACCCACCCCCCATCAAAATTCTCATCCCACCCAATTTAAATTAATCTACCCCAAACCCTAAATCATTTTCAACAACCCTTATCTCTCCCTTCTCTATTCTCTAGAAACACACCACATATGGTGACATGGTACCCTTCAGCATTGAGGTGCGACATTTGAGGCGCAGTCGTCACTTCGCGCAGCTACAAAGCGGCGCCTTTGCATGAGGATGCACTGCGTCTCTTCGTGCGGAAGACGCGGAGACGCTCACAAGTTAGTAGTGGTTTCTTTGGGTCACAGATCGCATCGTTCAATCTAGTGGTTTCTCCGACGATTTTTGTGATGATTTTGCTCGATCACGGATCATGGTTTTTGCCTGTACACACAGCTCGGTGGTTTTTGTAGTGATTTTGCGATATGTTTTGTGGTGGTTTTTTAGGGGATTTTTTTTAGTGGGGATGGTGGTTGTGGTGTGGTATAGATGGAGATAGAGGAGATAGCTAGTACACAGATAAGTGATTTTGCGTAGTCACAGATCGTGGTTTTTGTTAAGGGATAGAATCCCACATCGAATAAAGATATAAATAGAAATCAACTTATAAAGGATTGAGTTACTCATCTTAATAAAGTTGACCTTTTAAGATGGAACCCCAATTCTTAATATGGTATCAGAGCCCATTAAACTCTAAAGAGCAATTCGATCCGGTTAAGATTCCAAAAATGAGCATACGAATTTCAAGATTGGTCTGCTCAAACGAGATACCATTTTGCGGGGTCATGTTAAGGGATAGAATCCCACATCGAATAAAGATGTAAATATAAACCAACTTATAAAGAATTGTGTTACTCCTCTTAATAAGGTTGACCTTTTAAGATGGAACCCCAATTCTTAATAGTTTTTGCCTGGTACACACGCATCAGTGGTTTTTATAGTGATTTTGTGGCATGTTTTGTGGTGGTGGTGCAGTGGTGTTACTGTGCGTCGTGGTGGCGGTGACCACGATGGCACCAAGTTTGTAGATTTTTTTATGAGGATGGTAGTTGCTGTGTGGTATAGATGGAGATAGATGAAATGGCAATGGTGGTGGTTGTGGTAGTGGTGGTGCAAAGAGTGCTTGTTACCAATATATTGTTGATTTGTAATCAATAAAAAATATAAGATTTAGAAGAATGTGTGATTGTGACTAAATTTGTATTTGTGACTTGGAATTTGATAAATTGTGACTAATTAATTTGATAATTTATGATCGTGAAATAAGTTGTGGCCTATAAAATTTATGATTTGTGACCGATAAATAAATTGTAAACTATAATTTTTTTTGATTTGTAACATAAAAATAATTTGACACAAATTAATTTGATAATATATGACCGAAAAATAAATTGTGACTTATAAATACGTAATTTTGACAATAATATAATTAATTAATAAAAAATATTTTTAATTAATCATTTCATAAATAAAATTTAATTAATATCTTATTTTTGAAATAATAAGTTTTGTTTCTTAGTTTTGAAATGAATCATACTTATGCCCGGTTTGAGCCATCTTATTGTAGAATAAGAATGAAAAATATAGCCGTTATTGGGGCTCACACAAGAGATAGAAAATTTGAATTTAAATGTTGATGTGATGGATAACGGTCATATTTTTCATTTTCATGAGATAAAAAGGTGACCCAAACGGGGCTTAATCTAATTTTTCCTAATTAAATTGCCCTAGAATTTGGAGCACGTGGGCCCAAAATCCAGGAAGTGTGCAGATCAAACTTTGAGCGGAATTAGACCTTATTTTTCTCTCACACTATAGAAAACTGACACAAATGACACTAAAATGATGAGTATTAATATTTCATATCATCGTGATTAAAATATGAAAGAGGTTTTTTGTCGCACTTGATCCTATTTGAGTTAGCCATTTTTTTTTATTGATTTGCCATTTTTATTTGATCTCTTAGTTAATTACAAATTCACATGTAATACTATATAGTACTGTTTCTTATAAACTTACAAATTCAAAACGGCAATCAACTATTTATTGATTCAGGAGACATTTTCAACTGACTCGAGGAAGCACATGCGAAAGAAGATATAATATATACTCTCTATTTTAAATAGTCAACATTTAAAATCATGTTTCAAGAGACTCTTTACATTAACATTTTAATTTAGAGAGTGCGTTTGACTCTATATGCCTCAATGTGCTAATAAATATACAGATAGGCTGTCCACGAGCGATGTGCGATTTGAAAAACACAGAAGCGTAATTGTTCCAAATGAAAGGGCTCGGCCCCAATGTTATTGTTTCTAAATCATATATGTATTTACTCATTATAAGCATTGTAGTTAGATGAATAATTTAAGACATCAGAACAGCTTATTCACTATAAAAGTTCCACAAAGGATTGGAGAAATGGCAAGTTAAGAACCTTTGCATTGGCCTCTTCCTTCAACTATTCACAGTACGGCGCTATTTTGGAAATGGATGATACAATCACATGCGAGGGTTCCCTCAAGATCCCCTATGAGTCGAGATATCCGGACTTCAAGCCCTCTCTGTACTTCTCTGAAAAGAGTTCTAACAGTTTCAGCGAATCGCTTCATGTCGAAACTAACAGGCTTTTCGACTTCTTCTATGTCCCCTATAAAGCTGGAAGCAATCTTAGTTTGGACTTCCATTAGTTTCTGCCCTGTTGCAACAATATATCGCTGCAGTTGAAAGGTTTCTTCAAGGAAGTGCTCCAGCTTCCTCGTTTCCTCCTCCGTTCTAGAAATTTTGGAACTTCCACTGTCAAAATCCAGGGCATTCTCATGCTGCAATTCATTTGAGTTATGGTTAGAAAAGAATCCTTTAGTGTATGTTTGGTACGCAATATTGGATAAATAGGATAGATATAATATTACACATAAACCCAAAAATTCTCCTTACTTTTTAAACATACATTCTTCCATCAATCACTATTCCAGAATTTATTCTTTCTTCAAAATGGGTGTCAAACACAACCTAAAAATGATTTCTTAATTTCTTATTATTTCTAATTATTGTTTAGTACTATCCTATCCTATCCTATCCTCCCTACCAAACATGCCATTATGTGCCAATTGAAATTCTTAAAAATGTCATCAAAACACAAGGACGAAAAAAGTGACTCGTCTAATTGAATAAGAGCTGGAAATATTATGGTTGGAGCATACCATTCGTTTGCAAATATCGTCGGCTTTTCCCTGAAGGGACTGGTATCGATCAACTTGTTTATTCAAGAATGACATAAGTGCATAAAATCCCTTTATCCCAAATTGTTCATTGTTGTTGCTTTCACCTTTTTCACAACTTCCTTGATTTCCTATCAACCTCTCAAGCATGAGTAATTGCTGCTTCAGCCTTTTGATTTTGTATGAGACTCCAAGCGCGTGAAGATCCACCTTCCATGTAGGATTAATTTTTGTACTTATACCCTGGCCTATTGAAGTTGAAGTCTCAGCATTCACAATATCCTCGGAAAAGGCAGCAACTTCCCCTTCCTTTATCTCCATCTGTGGAGATTCAAGTTTCAAAACTATATCCTTGATGTGCTTATTTTCCATGGTTTCATCATCCGCTTCAATTGCCACAGCTTGCAAAATTGCCTCAGGTTTCATCTTTGTTTCTCGCTCTTTTTTCCCAGGTTTTCTTTTCATAATTTTGACTTTCGACCAAACAGTATCACGGGATACAGCTACCTCGTGTAGAGACTTAGTTTTCTGGAAATCTGGTGGGTTTGACAGCAATGCCAACTGTTCTCTCAGAGTATGCAGTTCTGCTTCTTGGTTCAGCAGTAGAGCTTCCAACTTCAGATTATCTTGCCTGATCTTTGCCAGCTCATGATCGAGCCCCTCAACGTGCGACTGAAACCTCTTTGATTCCAGTTCCATGCTCAACAAACGCCAACGGAAAGCTTCTATTTTTTCGTCTTTGAGTCTCAGTTGTTCAGCAAAAGCATCAATTTCAACTTGATGTCTCTCCTCAATTTCAATCTTGCATTTTTCAGCCTCGGATTTGACCCAATATTCCAAGTGCTGAATGTTAGTTGAGAACACTACAAATGGCAAAGTTAAGGCAAAAATAATCAATAATGGGATCCACTTCCGAAAGTAAAATAAAAGAAACAATTTTGTATCTTCTTAATGTTTGTCGAAATGGAAACAATTGATCAATTCAGTATGTTTAATCAGAGTTCACACCTTTATCTTTTGCTTTAGGGGGAGGGAGATTAGTAAACAAAATATTACGTGTGCTTGTAAAGCAGAAATTATGACGTAGGCTCAACTATATGGGCCAACCTTAGATGGGTACCCCTCCAAAGGGCATTGGAGGTCGCCAACCTAGGCCACGGGCCTTAATAATCGCCCATTGACCCCATCAGGTCGTGTATCAATTTGAGTATGGACATCAAGAATAGGATCTTACTCTTTTCCTCACTTCCATCAGTTGAGTGTGGGTCAAATAGAGGAGTAAATGCTTCCGCCCCTTTCCTAAACTTAGGCTGGTTGTACTCGGAAAGAAAGTCAGCTTTCTCTGACCGGGGTTTTCCAATGTCCAATACCCTTGTTGCTTTTGAATGTGCCCCTTTGCTACATGATTGTATATTCGACTTCGAATGTACATGTTTAGACAACATATTTCTTAAGGAATCTCTCTCATGTCTTGACTCGGAAACTGCCTTCCAACTTTCTGTTTCTAGCTCAAGTTGCTTTCTTCTGGATTTCGACAATTTTACATCGTCTAAAAGCATTTGTTTCTCAGCTGTATCCAATTTGGATTTCCTGAGCATAGCTGATAAAATTTGGTCTTTCTGTTCCAAATTCTTTCGCATTTTTACAAGCTCCAAGGATAACTTTTGGGTCATCAAAATATACTGCTGCTTCTGCTCGAGTACTGAATCAAGCTCTTGTTTTGCTACTTCAACTTGCCTAAGAGCCCGTCCCATCTCTGCTTCAAGCTGTCGCTGGTTTGATACAATCTCGATGAATGCAGTCTTGTGCTTTGAGATCTCATTTGAGTGTCGTTGAGCTTCACGCTTGGCAGTTTCTCTCAATTCCTCCACCAGGTTTTCAGCCTTCTTTAGTTTTTCCTCTAATTCCCTTCTCCTAGTCTCCTGTTCCTCAACAGATTTATCTTTCGACTGCATCAAAACTTCACTCTCTTGCAATTTTCCATTTAATTCAGAAACAGTTTTATCCATCTTCATCTCAAGTACTCTCAATTCATTCACAAGAGAACCAATTTGCTGTCTAAGTTTCTTTCTCTCATTGAACCAAGTCTGTTCGTGGGCTGCAAATATGCTAACAACTTTCTCATTAGCTTTTGCATCTTCACTTCGTATTTTCTTTAATTCTTCGATCTCTTTTTCAGCATTCTTGAGCTTGTGGAGAAGCTTGGACTTCCCGGACTCGACTTCTTCTCTCCGAACTCTCCATACAAGAAGTCCCAGGAGGTGAGCACTTCCTTGAAGTATCCTATTTCTTATTTCAGACCATTTATCATCACATATACCAGGCTCTGGCAAGAGTCTGAGCGCGAAGAATGCACAAGAAATGCCAAAAAACATCGGATACAAGCTATCACTATTCTCCTCGGATATAACAATGAACGAATCTGAGACCTCCTTTTCATCCATTACTCAATTATAAGACCACTGACAATATCACAGAGAAATTATTCAACAATTAGTACCAATTCAACTGCAATTAAAATATGTACAAAATGCACTAGAAACGCCAAAAAGACACAGCTGACGAACTGTCCGTATTCTACTCGAACATAGCCAAAAAAGAACCACAGACCCCTTTTCCTCCATCATTCTATTATAAAAACTGACGGTTAGATCTACTGTTTATGGATTAAAATGAATAATCCATATAACCAAGAGCAATTCTTCATAAGCCCCCGTTCGAGCCAATCTTTTGAGAATTGGAGAATGTGTGGGTATAAAGTGTGGAAAATTTTTGGTTTATTTACAAAATTATTCTATTGGGAGAATGTGTATTGGGAGAACGTGTAGTTGAAAATGATTTTTAAATAATGGGAGCTTAAACATGGACAAAATAATAAAAAGAGAGCAAGAATAGCTATTGCATCAGGCATCACTGTCAAAATTGCAATACGTTTTGGACTCGCATCTCTCTATTTTCCCTGCTATGATACAATAAATGAAGGCTCGCCCTAATGTCCTTTATATAGGAGAAATATATCAGGATGGCCTAATACATGTGAGAATTTCCGAAGTAACATGCAACACCAGAAAATTTTTTGCCTTGGGAACCTCCCCCGAACCTGAGGGGAAAAAATGTGCAGGATATTGGACTCAACACACCCAACATCTACTACACTTTAGAAATGTCAAATATTCTTCAAATAGATTTTATTTGATGTTTGGGGGCAATGCACAGGACGCGCCGTAAACTTTGGATACTCACTATTCTCCTCAGATATAGCGAAAAACGAACCTGAGACCCCCTTGTCCTCCATTAGTCAATTATAATAAGATCACTGATTTCTAACAGTTTCACATAGAAACTGGAAGTTCTAATCTACTTTTATATTTAAGAATTAGGGAATTAGCATCAATTCAACTGCAATTTAGACCTTCACAAAATAATACGAACCCAAATAAATCATAAAAGAATGATGGAAAATGGAAAGAAACAGAAAACGAAAGTGATCAAAATCAGAGAAAAGATCAAAAAGAACAAGAACAACTGAACACACATACCAAGCATGGTAATATCATTAAGTGCAATAATAAATAAGGCTAATAACTTTAAAAGATTAGAAAAATCAAAAGAAAGCATACTGTAAAAATATCTAGAAATGGAACCAAAATTTGTAAATCCAAAAATTTTGGGGATATAAAAACTTACATGACTGTCAAGCCAATCCGACAAATTCTCTCAAAATTATTCTTCAATCTCCCATTACCAACATAAACCAGAGCAAACTCAATGAAATTTAGCTAAAACATTTTTTTCCAGTGGGCTGGGGGTGCGGAAAACTGGCTAAGCCAGCAAAACCCAACTTCAGAAACTGGTTTCATCTGTTCATTCTTGAAATTATCTTGATATATATCCTCGGAGAATGCCAGAAGCATGGACTTTACACGTGTGAATGCTGCTAAATCGGTTAAGAAGAAAGCTTGTTCTGTGACTAGAAGCAGAAAAATTTCAAAGAAATTGTTCTCCCCTGGTTTTCTGTGAAGGTTGACCCCACTCTTGAACTCTTTTCTGAACAACTTTATCCCTTATTTTCTAATTCGGTTACGGTTCTGAAAATAAGCAGCAAAAAAGCTAGATACCTGGTTGTTTTGTCTCCAATTGGATACTAGGAAAATATAAGGTTCAAAGAATAAATACTACAGCCATATCTCTATAAGGCATCCATCATTTTCATACATTATTATATCTTTCCAGGGTGGCTTGTCTGTACGATTTTGCAGCAGTGTTAATGTGGGAGGCCTCGGCCTGGCTTGGCCTAAACTCGGCCACGACCACCTCGGAGTAACTTACATGCCGAGAAGGGCCCATGGGTGGACCTTTTACACTAGTATAAATCTTCGTGCTCAGACGAGTCAAGTCGAGCATCACCATTACGGTCTATAGATAGTCCCACAAATTGGTGTGCCATATCCATAACCTACATAATTTAGATTAAAGATTTTTACGACGCATAGTCGATTAAACTTTGTTATGATGCTTAATACATGCATTGTTTGAATAGGAAAACAACTTGTTTTATTAGCTACCCGTGATTTTAATTAACCACTCAATTATTCTCAGTAATTATTAGTTTGCTGAGACGAGCAAAAAGTTATTTACCCTCTGCATTGTTTTTTTTCCCTAAATTGGACAGAATTTTTGACATGTATAGGTTACCTACCTTTATAATGCAGACATGACCATTTTTGGGGCATTTTCCAAATTTACAGGGCACCAAAAAAACGACACATGGTCATTTGATTCAGTAATGGTGAGCTAAAAGTCCACGCTAATTCTTGTAATTCACCTTATAAGTTGCTAAAATGCGTCATATCAGTGACCAACTAAAAATTGTCATTTTCACCAACCTTGTTCCTAAAATGTTGTCAAGACCAATCAATTCACGACATAGGGTAATTTACAAGTTCACAATGAATACGACTCGTGGGTTCACCTGGCAACTTCTCAATATCATGCGAGACATCAGACTCATGTGGGTCCTCACTCCGTGGCATCGAAGAACTAAGTCATCTGAAAACTAAAACTTTCTTCTAGTTATGTGCTATGATAGTAGACCAACCCGTAGAGCCTACACTTCTGATTTTTAGATATGTGACTTGCTAACTGTTGTTGCATTGCAAACTTGGATGGTATGTTCCGACCTCTGGTTAACACAGGCTTCTTGTTATTGTGCGAAGGTCAGATCTCGTTGGTCCTGTTTCCATTGATCGTGTTGCCTTTTATTATGTAATTACTATTCATGGCAGAACATGCTTGGATTTTGCATGTCACTTGGCTGCAACTTTCGGGTTAGCGGAGTGTGATTAGCTTGGACGATGTATATGAAGCATGTGAGTTGGGCACGGACGACATCTTATGCATGCCAGTTCATTCAATGGCCAAATTCCATATTTGGTCATCTAGCTCTATGTTCCCTGTGTTGTATACTTACCGCAAATGTATCACGTTGTCTAAAAAGACATAATTTTGCTCTGTATTTCAATAATATATGACAATTGGCATGGAAAGTGGCATTTCTCTTCAATGTCGATCTCGCATGGATTGAGTCTACAACTTGATCAAGATGAGAAAGATCGTCATTTGCAAGAAGCGCGAACGCTTATTTGGGGGTAAATAGAGAACCAACATCCCCATACCTACTTAGTATTCACATTCGAGAGTTCGAGCATGCTGTCGTGGCACAAATTCCACAACAACAAATGTGAGCAAGGTGGAATACAACGAATACTTTCATGAAATTAGTTTTGTTTTTTGTCAAAATATTAAGAAAAATAGGGGAAAATGCCCAAAAAAATCCCGAAAGATGTTAATATGTGAAATCTTTGCCAAGGTGTCAAGGACCGCAGCTTTACTTGAACCCCTTGATCCAATTTCAGCCACAGTTTGCCCAACTTCGACCGCACATTGTAAATATTAGTCCAAGTTTGAGTTGTAATTTCCTTTCCATTGTAATAGTTTATTTCAATTGTAAAATAGATCTAATATTGATAAACTTTTAGTATGATTCCCCGTCATTTAAATCCCCATCAAAATCTGCATTGAATCCCTTACAAACTAATGGATGGGGTTCTTTCTTCCATTCTATCCTATTTACTGGTACTGATCATCGATACTGGAAAGTGGTTAGCGACTTTATCCATCTTTGGTTTCATTACTTGTTGTTTTGAATTATCTGGAGAATGCCTTATGTATATATCAAAAAGATGGCCAATCAAACATATTTCTCGATTCAATGTCTACTCCTGTCACTTATGTTTTTGTTCAGCAAGTTATTATAGGGAGTATTAGTCATTCAAAAATCTTTCAAACTTACTGGTGTTTGCCCTTGCACTAGCCATCGTAATTTCCTACTTTCATCAATTGTAATTTCTAGCTTTCAAGCAATTAATGATCAATTTACTTTCAATG